CCTGTCCCATCCTCCAGCTCCCTGTGTCCCATCCTCCAGCTCCCTGTCTCGTCCTGCAGCTCCCTGTCCCGTCCTGCAGCTCCCTGTCCCGTCCTGCAGCTCCCTCTGCCCCATCCCACATTCCATCCTCACAAGTGCACAGGGTTTTTCCCTGCACAGACCAGGAGCACGTTGTGTCCTGTGAGAACATGGAGTTATCAGTGAGCAGGAACCCAAATCAGCTCCAAAGATCTCCTCAAAAACCAGCAAAAGGTAAAGGTGACATGACCAATCCAAGAACTTTGGGAAGAACCATTTCCATGTCAAACCTGGAGTGGCATTCCTCACCTGCAGCCTTCACTCTCTCTCATTAATACCTTCATTTCTTGCTACTTAGGCTAAAATTGAAGTTTGAAGGTTTTGCTCCCAGCCACCTTCTAGAAAATGAGCCCATCAAAGCTCTCCCCTCAAGTGTTTTACACACCCTCCACTTCCAGTTACTAAGATTGAAAAGAAAGATCCTAAGAATGCTATCTATCCCATTCCTTTTAGAGCAACATTAACACTGTTAAATTGCAGCTCAGCCTCCTGCTTTAATCACAGGTGCCAGTCTCACCAGCTCACAGTTTTGGGAGCATTTATTTTTGAATCTTATTCTCCCAGCAGCTGAAATACAGAGGTAACTTTACACACTTTCCCGTATTTGACTAAAAAATGTTGTGTCCTCCAAGAGTAAAAGCTTCAATAAAAGTCTCAGAAGCACCAGAATGAATCAAGAGGACCACTGGAAGTCAGGAAGAGCCTGGAATGGTCAGGAGTACCCCCATGGGGATTTTTTTAGCTGCTTGGAGTGATCAGGAAGGAACAGCCTCATGCTTAGTGCTGGAACCCTGTGTAAACACTGACAGTGCAGAGCTTTATCAAAGCAATTCATCAGTTACTGAGCCATTTTTCAATTCCTAGATTAATTCAAATTAGAGCCTAATTCCAGCTATCAGAGCTGGGATCCTGGCTGCCCTCTGTTCCTCCACACTTTGATAAATGGGCCATGAAGAGTATGAACGACTGGAAGAGAGTGTTCTCGGGGCTCTGCACAGCACCAGATAACTCCAAAATCACAGATAAATGATGAACTCCCCAGAATGTTTATCTCCTTTAGACAGAAAAACAAAACCACTGACTCAGCACAAATCACTACAAAGTTTCCAAGCAGTCTTCACTCTCCTCCTTTATCACTCAAGCAAACCTGATAAAGCTTGACAGAGACACATGGAAGAACCAGTGCCAGCTAATGGGCTCATTTGCATACAGACCACCTGTAATTAACTTTCTGTAATAGAGAAGTGGAGCAGGAGAGCAGCCGAGGCAGGAGAGAGCAGCAGCAGCTGATGGAATCTCATAACTACCATTTATCAGTGCTTTTATTTGAGTCCCTGGAGAACCTGAGCATTGAAATTCTCTGTGCCTGAGCAGTTCATGGCTCTAACCTTTCCTTAGTTAACGGGTCTCCCGAGATGCCTTTGAAGGAGGGTTTTTGTGAGCCCGTGTCAGGAATTCACGTCCCCGCAGCGCTGAGGACATCCAGGAAAGGAGTAACTCTGGATGCAGCACGGATGAGAGCCCTGAGGAGCTCTGAAAAACTGTGCCAGGCTGAACAGAACAACCTACAGTGATGGGGAGAGGAATCAGGAGGCAGAGAGTGTGCTGGTGGGGATGGGGAGAAGGCGAGCAAAGCGAGCTCAGACGAACAATAGCACAAAAATTCCCTCCCATTTAGTTCCATTACTCATAGCAAGTGGGTGACTTGCAGCCCTTAGACACAGTATTTACTGGAAGGCATAAATTGTCCTGGTAAATAAATTGTCTGTCAGCCAGAAATCTCCAGGTGCTCCTGGAGATGAATGCAGGGATGAAATCAGAAATGAGGAAAGGAAAAATGCCCCACAAACGGCAGCAGTGCTGATGAACCCGCTGGGTTAAAGCTCAAGGATGTACCAAAACCCTTTCACTGTTTCAGAATTGCCAGGAAGGGTAAAATAAAGCAGCAGTGATCAGAAATGTTTTATCACTTCACCTTTCTCAGCCTGCCTGGCTGTGGAGTCACAGCTCCTGCTCAGGACAAGCAAACTCACTCCTTCCCGAAGCAGCTCCTCACAGCACTCACCTTCCCTTCCTGCTCCCACACCAGTGATGTCTGAAGTTCAACAGTCCCCCAAATCCAGATATTACCTAGTTTTCCCAAGTCCTGCCGGGCTAAAATCAGTATGGAAGGATTCATGGAATTGTAATGAAAACGATTTCCATCGCCAGCAACATCTGCTGCCTCTAAATTTATAATTAAAATGAAATCATGCATGCAAAAAGGGGGGAAAAAAAAATCAATAAGCTTCCATTTCAAGTTTTTTTCCCAATGTTGAAAGAAGTTACTTGATTAACTCTGACTTAACCTGAACATCTGGCAGCATTAGAGATGTGTCAGGGCACCCACAAAAAGAGTCTGTAACTCTAAAAAAATTGTGGGGGTTTTTTTTGTTTGGTTTTTTTTGTGGGTTTTTTGTGTGTTTTTTTTGTGTGTGTGTTTTTTTGTTGGTTTTTTGTTTGTTTGTTTGTTTTTGTTTGGTTTTGGTTTTTGTTGTTGTTTTTTGTTTGTTTGGTTTTTGGTTTTTTTTTTGGTTTTTTTGTGGGTTTTTTTGTTTTGTTTTTTTTTGTGGTTTTTTTTTTGTTTGTTTGTTTTTGTTGGTTTTTTTTTGGTTTTTTGGGTTTTTTGTTTGTTTGGTTTTTTTGTTGTTTTTTTTTTTTCTTGAAAGCATTAACAGGGATAATCCAGGAAACATTTGGGCCGCAAAGTGCAAAAACATGACACATATCACTAATTTTCTGTGCCTCAAGCACAGAAGGATCTCCCGGGCAGCACCAACCAAAGGACTGGGACGGCCCAAATAAAAGCAAGGTGCTACTGGACATCACCTGCAGTGGGAGTACCTGCTATTTTGATGTTCATGTTGTTGTCCAGCAGGAGGTTCTCAGCCTTGAGGTCCCTGTGCACGATTTTCCTGCCATGGCAATACTCCACCGCCGACAGGATCTGCCAGAACTTGCGCCGGGCCTCGGACTCGCTCAGGCGGCCGTGGCTGGCCAGGTAATCTGGGGAGATAAACCAGGCTTAAAGTGGGCTGTGGACAGCCAGGAACAGCCCCTGGAAAACAGGGGTTCCCCTGGAATAAACAGCACTCAGAAGGTGTTTCGGCCAAACCCTTTTTATCCTCCCAGCCCTGCCCTGGGAAAGAATGGAAAACACCCTCCCCAACAACGGGGGGGAAACAAAACAAATAAGAGTAAGAAAAAGTTGATGCGCCACGAAACTCTGCTCTGCTCTTTCTTTCAGAGCTGCCTGAGCAATATTTTCACAGAGCACAGCTCGTGGGGAGTGCTTGGAATCACTGGCTTCACCACCACCAGGTATTCAGGCTTTGGGCTGCTCAGTTCCTGCAGGCTCCACACCACACTTCTCCCTCTGAAGCCTCAGCAGAGGCTGCACAGTGGCTGAAAGTATTTATTTTTTTTTGTTTTCTGGAAATAAAACAAGTACCCATAGAGTGCCCATCCTGACCTCCCTCTTGTCTTCGTTGCGTCACAGGCAGAAAAGAACATTTTGTTTTCATATTTGATTACGTTGTAAAAACCAACGTTAGCCCTGAGAGCAACAACTCCATTTATGCTCAGGAACAAAAACAAGGGGAGCAGCAGCTGGGTGAGTCTTGACAGAAAGAGCTTCTACAGCCAATTCTATTATTTCTCTTACAAGCACAAAAATCAAAGAATCAACTGTTAGGATGAGTTTGGAATTGCCTTTGACATCCTACAGGGAATGGCCAAGGAGCAGCAAATACATATGGATTTTATACCCAGCAATTAATTGTACCTTCTAAGCCAGTTGTGTGACATCAGTGATCCAAGCAGGATCATCTTGCCCAACACAGTTCCAGACCTGGCTTTGTTAGCTTGTGTTTTAGGGGATTTTTAATTAAAATATCGTTTGGGGGCTTTATAACTGTTTGCAATATTTTCATCTAAAAACTTTCCTGCTTTCTTCAGGATAAAAATCTGATCCCTGGAACCAGCAGGTCTGAGAACTCTCCTCAGAGCTTCTAACCTACCCAAGCCTTCAGACACTTTTCAGCTGGTTTAACTTGGCAAAGCACAAGAACAAACAAAAGCCTGGCAGTAAGGGGAGATCATAATATTTGCAAGCTAAATATCATTCAGTCACAAAGTGACTGACAAATCATATGATATCAAGGTGAAGTCAGATATCAAAGGCACAAACTAAATTACCCCCGAGCACAAGCCAGCTCTTTAAGCTGTTAATCCATCATTTGTTAGCAATGCAGCAAACAAGTTAATGAATCCAAGCTGTCATTTTGCTTTTAGGGCTCTGGCCTGTCAGGACTCATTTAAAGACCCCAAACCAAGCTGGCCCTCAGTGTTTCACCAGCCATTTGTTCTGAAATCACCCAGAGAAGGAGAACCCAGCACATGCAACCAGGGGCTGGGCCCCGTTTGTGCATTAACCAGAGTGCAAACAGGGCAGGCTGGCATTGGGATCCAGGCTCTGTGCCAGCCCCCGGGCACAGGAACCACTCCAGGACAGCTGAAACTTGCTGGGGACACCCAGAACGTGGGCACTGCTGGAATATGTGTGTGCAGGGCTCTGGATTTTGCTGGACATGCCCCTCTTGCAAAGACTGAAGCAGCAAAGCCACCTCTGCCAGGAAACCTCCATATTTCACCCCCTTGGACAAACCTCAGCCTTGTGTCACCCTCTGCCCACACATTTCTATAGGGGAATTTGGATTTTTTGTCATTTTACCATAATAAAACAGAAACCAGAAGACACTTTAGGTTCAGCTGGATCCACAGCAGGACTTTTGTCCCCAGCTCCCTGTCCAGCCTTTTCAGCTGCCCAAAGAACAATTGTTTGCTGGACAATTGAAAGATTAAGGTGTATTTACTTCAAAACACGTGACTCAGACGTTGCCTTGCAAACCCAGTGGTCAATACTTTTATTTAAGATGCAGTCCTTCATTTAGGTTTGTACCCATGTTAAATTTGGAATGTTAAAGCTCTGTCACACACCAAAGTGAGTACAGTGATGGTTAATGAACATGATTAAGGGTCTGCAGAGCTCAGAGAGCAGTGGGGGCTCAGCCTGGAGAGGACAAGGTGCAGGGGAAATCTCATTTTGTGTATAAATACTGAACAGGAGGGAGGTGGCAGAGCCAGGCTCCTCTCAGCTGAAGTGCCCAGCAAAAGGACAAAAGGCAGTGGAAACCAACTGAAACACGGGAAATCCAGTTTAAACCTAAGGGTTCTTTTCCCTGCAGGTGGTCAAAAGGTTGGAACAGGATGGCTTGAGGCTGTAGCCCCCATCCAGGGTCCTGAGCAGCCACCTGCAGAGCTGGACAGTCATTCCCTACAAATCCCTTCCAACCTTCTGTGAGCTGGGCTCAGGTCAAGGCAGTCAAGACATCCCTCACCCAGTTCAAGCTCAGTAAGGAACAAATAATCCCTTATCAAGGGATTTCCCTGTATTTCCAATCTTATGGATGCAGCTGGAATTTCAGCAGAGGAATCTACATTAAATCTTTATCATTACAGGAAAATCTCAGTTCCTGTCTGGCTTTGTCGAGGGAGGTTTTTTTTGCTGAAATGGTCCAAAAAACATCAGAGACCATGTTCTGTTCTTGGGTACTGCAGTATTATCACCAGGACTAGTCATGAAGGGAACCTCACCCTCGGTAAAATTTAGTTTGAGGACAAAAGGACACGACTGGGGCTTCCCCAGTGAGCAGGACAAAATCCAGTGCAGAATTTAGGTCACTTTGGTTAAACTGTGCATCAGTCACTGCAAGTTTGCAGGAGAAGCCCTGGGAAGAGTTGTCAATGAAACTGTTGCTTTTTCTTCTGCCCAACCAGAGCACACTTTGCCTGGTTACTGTACATATTTAATGTAGGAGTGTTTGCACGTCTAGCTGCTGTTTTGAGTGAGAAGTGTTTTCCCAAATATTTACTCCGTAGATCTGTAAAGTCTCGAGCACAAATGAAACCTTTTTCATTCTGCTAAGTTGAAAGATATCTTTAAAAACCATCCAAAAGGTAACAGCATTTGAAGGGTTGGGGCTGAACACATCATTTACTGCAGTGACATCAACTGGGGAAAGTCACTGCTACACAAAACTGCTGCTGAGTGGAGAAAATTTCCCTGGAGCAGGTCAAAAACAACCCTGCCCATGAACCATCAGTCAGCACCACGAGGGGATGGTTTAGCAGAGCTGAAAAGACTCAATGAGGTTTAAAACCAGGCTGTTTAATACCAAGCCTGACATGGTATTAAAAGAACATTAACCAGTTACCAACTCCTGACCCCCCACACCTTGAAGAACACACCAAAATGTCTTTAAAATATCTTAATATCACAGTGGCAAATTCATCCACAGCAGAACATCCCATCCTCAATTCCAGAAGCCACTCTGAGAAATCACTCCAGTAAATCAGAAAAAAATTATGACTTCAGACAAAACTCTACAGAAATATAAAGTCTCTGACAACAGACCCAGAAAGATCCTTAACTACCCAGTGCATTAAAATGTTGAAGATGAAAATATTCCCTTGCTTACCAAAAATTTCTCCATTTTTGGCAAATTCTGTCACAAGGTACAACATGCTTTTGGTCTCCATCACCTGTGGATGAAGAAATCACAAGTGAGTGCTTGTGGGAAGAGCAAGAAGCAAAAAAAAACCCAACCAAAATGGATCCTTATTCTTCTGCTAAAGATCTGGAAGCTTTGCCTTGCACTTGGAGTTATCACCATCTTTCCAACTGCACAACGTGTGCAAACAGCACAAGCAAAATATTGACCCAAAGGGAAAAATCCTCCAGTTCAAAAAAATCATTTTGGATTTACCTTGAGCACAACCACAACCATTTCAACACATTTTGGGTCTCTTTCAGTAACCTCAATAAAACGGTTCAGCACGAGCTGTTTGTGGACAAGACCTTGGTGAATTTGGTCTTTGCATTTTATTTGTAAGTACCAGAAGAATGCTCACAAATCAACTCTTTCTAGAGGGTAATTCCTGGCAGATACACAGTTATAAACCCAGAATTACCCCAAAACTGACAAGTCAGCAGACAGAACAAGGTGGCAAATCTTCAGTCCCCCCTGTCCTCCTGTTTAATTCTAAACCAGCTGAACAGATTCAGACTGGAATGTCTGTGCCTGGAAGGCAAAACAGTTTGCAAAGACTGTTTTCAACCACCCTCTGGAGGCAGAAAGCTGCTCCAGCCTGGGCATTCCAGAGATATGGAACCATCCTTAACCCAACCCATTTCCAGCTCCATCACCCAGCTCTGACAGCCCCCAGCAGTTCCTTGACACGAGACAACTCAAACTCAAGGTGTGAACCCAGCACAGTGATGTCCCACAGCCAAGTGGGACAATTTGAAGGCTATTTTAAAAATAAACTCACCTGTCAAACGCATTTTTAACCAGGCAATCCACTGACAGTGAAGGATTAAGCACTGCATAATCATCACCCCCCTCTTTAAATGATCTCCCTGATCTCCAGACTTAATTTAACTATTCTCAGTCCCTCCTCCACCATTTTCGTGTGTTGCCATTCACTCAGAAGGAACTGTGGAATATATTACTTTATTTACTTTACTTAACTCCTTAAAGTCCCTCTCTGCTTGGCAGATCAATATTTTAAAGATCAAGTGCCAGTTTCTTTGACATAAAATTAAGTTAAATTGGGATCTTCATCTTTATCCAGAACTCCACCACCACTCCAAGTCCTCGTGCTCAGTTTTCCTTTGGAGATGTTGTCAGGTGACCTTAAATTCAGAGCTTTAGCACACCCAGGTCTTTGTTGAGCCAGGTTTATTTGAAGCAAGGGTGTGTTATCTCTGTTTGTTAAACAGAGCAGCAACAGGGAGATCCTAAAGGGAGTATCTCAGGAAAGCCTTAAAGGCAAGACTGAACTGGAGCAGAAATGAGAGCAGCCCCAAACATTTCACCAGGAACAGAAGATGAAACAGAAGAGAAACCACTACAAAACAAACTTATATTTTACTGCAAAAAAAAAATAAAAAAAATAAAATCACAATTAAAAACCTTCAAAATTTTTCACTGAAGAGTTCATCCAGGAGCAAAAGAGATGGGGAGAAAGGGGAAGAGCCACCACTGACCCCACCTGATAGAGCTTTATGATGTGTGGGTGATCCAGCATCTTCATTATCTGCACTTCCCTGTAGATCTTCTCCAGATTCACAGCATCCAGCTGAGACTTGTCAATGATTTTTATTGCCACCTGCAGACAAACAGCAAGAGTGAGA